CCATCCCCGCCCCAGCCGGTCTCTAAGGGCAACAAGGTTCATGTTATCGATTTCGACATCGGTCAAGGCGGGCAGTACGTGAGTCTCCTCCGCGCGCTTGTTGCGCGTCATCAGAACGGCAAGCCTCCGGTAGGGGTTAAGATCACCACCCTCGCCGACACCAACGGCGGACGTGAAAGACTCAACGCCGTCGGAGAGAAGTTGAGGCAACTCGCCGAGGGGCTCGGAATTGTGCTTGAATTCAACGTGGTGAGTCTGAAGATCGGCGAGGTGAGTCGCGAATCGCTTGGGTGCGAGGCCGACGAGCCTCTGGCCGTGAATTTCGCCTTCAAGCTGTACAGAACGCCGGACGAGAGCGTGTCGACGGAGAACCCACGTGACGAGCTCCTCCGGCGCGTGAAGGCGATGGGGCCGCGCGTGGTGGTGCTGGTGGAGCAGGAGCTGAACACCAACACGGCGCCGTTCATGGCGCGCCTGAACGAGACGTGCGCGTACTACGGCGCGCTATTGGACTCGATCGAGTCCACCACAGCGAGGGATAATTCGGAAAGAGTCAAGGCGGTGGAGGAGGCGCTGAGTCGGAAACTTGGCAACTCGGTCGCGTGCGAGGGGAGGGACCGGGTCGAGAGATGCGAGGTGTTTGGGAAGTGGAGGGCACGGATGGGGATGGCCGGGTTCGAGTTGAAACCGCTGAGTCAAAGCGTCAAGACTCGGCTGAGTTCTAACCGAGTCCCCCCGGGTTTTACTGTTAAAGAAGAGAATGGAGGAGTTTGCTTTGGTTGGATGGGTCGCACTCTCACCGTCGCATCTACTTGGCGTTAACTTCACTCATTTTTCTCCCCGCTTTTTTTATTATTTTTTTTTCTTTTTGATTTTTATGTCTCTTACTTCACTTTCTTACTAATGTTATATTAATTGTTATAAAAGAAAGTATTATTGACGTTTTCCCGAAAGAATTGGCAAGAAAAGGAAATAGAAAAGAAATACCCCCACCCCCACCAAACGGAAACAAATAAAAATCCGAGTGTTTGGATTCCGAGAAAATTCCCGTGCACCTCATCAATTATCATCAGTTTTGGGTGTGTGAAAGGTGGTGTTTGGTACATTTCGCTGATTTGTCGTGTGGATTGAAGCTTGCGTTACATTACCAAGTACCAACCATGGACGGGCTCCACTTCTAGATTATTTTTTTTCCCCTTTTGTTGCTCTTGTTTGTATTTATTTGGAAAATATGGTTATTTACTGGGAAATTACGTGTCCAATTCCTAATGGGTCCCACTACAGCACTTTCTTTGCCTATTGCTTGAATTTGGGATAGGGTAGGGGGCTTCACGTGCGCATGTATGAAACTTGATTCGGCTTTTTGCTGAGCATGATAGAGTACACATTTTATTTTGTTAATACGTAGAGGGATCTTCATTTGGTATTTGGGATTCCTACGTTATGTAACATAAAACATCTTTATGTATTTGTCGTTGTGAAATAAACTTACACTATTTTATTTTGCCGATAGTAGCTTAAATATCTGTAAATAATTCAACAACTCTCCAAGTGATTGTACTATATTTTGTCTTTTTTTTTTTATTTTTTATCCAACAAATATATTTATGGTGAGCTTCAAAAGATTTGCGCAAATTGCTTTTCACTTTCACCAAAATAAATAAATAAATAAACTAATACAGTTGCGTCGTCTCTTTTCCAATCTCAACGATGATAGGTTGGTCTATTCTTCTAATAATAATATATAATGTTGTTCTTTGATAAATATGAACACATCAAGCTTACTCCTCTGTCTTTATTCTCTCGCGTTATCCTAAATTTCGCCTACTATCTCGATGTAGGTTAGAATTCGTTGCTATATCATGAACTTTGTCCTTTGACAATGCCTATCCATATTAATGAAATTGGAGATTCTTTTATGCTAAAAAAATCACATCTCAAGTGGCATATTCCCTCTAGCTAACTCTAGCTATAAGCTAGAAAAGGTTTTTTTTTTTTTTTTTTTTGTTAATAATCTCAATTAGAGAAAGAATGTTCATCACTAATTAACGTTTCAAAATATTAAGTGACACAATTATTTAAAGTGAGTATCCATGAAAATATTGCATTACCCCAAATGAGCAAAGATTCGCGATGCAAGTAAAACTCTATCCCCATCATCGCTTTTCGGCCATTGTCACGATTTAATCTTTCATTTTATGATATGGGTTTTTAGAAGAGATTCATTTTACATTTTTCCTTTGTTTGATCGTGATCCCTAGAACTCAATTATTTCAATGGTGGCATGTTTTATCCGTACCTTATAGAAGTAGAGGTTGAAAGGGATTGTGAAAATTGGTTTCTTATAGTTTGTTCGTGAGTACCATTTTACCCTCTTAACATTGTAGCGGGTTTCTTCAAAAAGCAGTACTCTTCAGATAATGGTTCTAACATATGCAATTGTCAAAATCATTTTCTTATTATGTTCAATGTGGTTGAAAGATACAAGATAAGGGTTTATTTTATTTTATTTTTTAACCTTCTGGTTTTGCTTCAGTGTTGTACAAGGATAAAAAGGGTGCTTCAGGATTGGCTCTGCGTGGAGTGTACCTTTTTAATCCCAAAACAATGTTTACGTTTCTTCCAAACTCGGTCTCTGCATTTGATATTTTGATGTAATTTGACAGTTCAAAAATTATACTTCATCAGACATTGTGTATGGAATTTACAATGTGGTTGTGCTTGATATACGTTCTTCTAGGCTTGTGTTTGCCACTAAATACTTTTTTATTTTCATCTCCTGCAAATGGAATCTCATTTATATCCAGCATAAGGAGAAAGAAACGCTAGCTCTATCTCACTAGAAAGTTTTCTCCCAAAGTTGCTCTAATATTCAAATTGAGCACATACACGCATGTTCTACCTTTTATATTTCTTTCTCATAAACACTTGCAATTCTCTTCGGAAAAGTAATGAAAGAGGAAAAGAAAATGAAAAGAGAGTTTCTCTACTAAAACTAAAAAAAATGAATTACCGTAATTTTTTATTTTTTAACTGTTAAATCTGTATAAAAAACAGTCTGCTCTAAAATTTTTTTTAAAATTTAATGTGATTTTAATCATATCTAATAGTTAAAAACATAAACTGCGTCCGGTAAGAAGGCTTATCAGTGAAAGTCTAAAGAAAAAAAAAAAACTCTGTTGCAAATTCAGACTTTCTACTTCATTTATAAAATAGGAGAATTCAATAAAAAAAAAAAAGTATGATAATTTGACACCAATTTGATGAAGATTTAATCTGTGTACGATAGTTTTTCATGATACTGAATGAAAAACAAATTCTTATATATATATATATGTATATATAAATAAACATGCCAATCTTTAATTGAGCATTGATGTTCATGGAAAGAGTCAGTGGGAGACAAATAGATGAGGACCTGCGCAATATGCATCTTCTATAAAGAAACATAAATGCACAATAATACTTTCATTGCTAGAGCGTTTCCCATCATGAGGGGCAGTAGTAAACAGTTATTGTTGGATGGCCTTCTAGGCCTTTGGGACAAAGGGGTGAGACAAAAACCATTAGTCATAATATTTGATCGTATATGCAACTAGAAAAATAGCATAAATGACTTTCACGGAAAAAAAATAAATGACATTTGAGAAACTGTCTCGCAAATGGGCGTGGGTGGGTGTGGAATTGAAATAGATTACCCTTTTAGATGAAGTAATCAATGTTAAAAAGGAAAAAATTAAAAATTTATCGTCAGATCTTCTATCGGTCATGAATATTTTTAACTATTACATCTGGTTAAAGTCAAATAAAAA